GACGCGGCCGTCTGGGAAAACGAGGCAGGGCACCGCCGTCCGCCGCCGTCGGATCGCGTCCTTGCCGGTGTGGGTGGCGTCGCCGGGAAACGACCCCGTCTCGGAGAGGTGGGCATTGCCTCGGAGGTCGGCCACGCGGAAGCCCAGCGCAGGCAAATGCGTCGACTCGTGGTGCCCGACGCCGGCACGCTCCAGCGCCCAGCGAGCCAGCTCGCAGTAGTGGCTGTACGGGATGGTTTGCAGCCGCGGGAGGCTCTCGCGCGCCGCGAGCTGCGCCTCGGACGGGCCGCGCGAGATGTAGGACCGGAGCAAGCCAAAAGCCTTGGAAGCCATTTTAAGAGCGGTGGCGGTGGCAGGGCCCGGGCTCCTCAGGGGGCTGTCCACTTGGCCCCGGGGCCGCTCTGTGTACCCGGGTATCTCGAGACCTTGAGAGAAGGCCGCCCGCAGGGCCCAACTCAACAATTGGCTTTCTTTTGGCGGGCTAGTCTGTCCACACTGGCTGGCCCCTCCCAGATAGGTAGGGAGGTTGGTCTTGTTTCGCCCAAAAGGGCCCTGCAATAGGTAGGTACTATTTTCATCTTTTTTCGCTTCGCTGCGCGGCCTGGGGATAGGTAGGTAGTTGCTGTGCAAAAGGGTGGGGAGCCGCGGCGGCGCCGCAGGCGCGGGCGCGCAGTGGAAGCACGCTAGCCATACGTGTTCACGCAGAGAAGCTGACGGTCGGGGTCGTGACGGCTCGAGGGTGCGCACACTAGCGGCCGGACGCCTCACCCGCGGACGCCTCACCCGCACGCGCACCCTCCAACATCGCCGCCGAGCCCAAACGCCCTGCCGTCAATCTCTGGGCCCAAAATCAGCCAAATTTTAGGCCAAATCGGCAAAATGCCGAGAATTTTGTTTGCGGAGAACCCCCGTGTATACCTGGAACTTACCCTGCGACCGCCTGGGTATTTTGTCGATTTTGCCTCAGATTTTGCCCCAGACCAGCTCTCAGACTCAGGGAAACTCGCGAGTTTCCAGAATGGAGCACCAAACACCCTCCTGTTTTCCCTGGAAATTTCCGGAAACGCAAAGTGCTGGGGACGACCCTCTGTTTTCCTTTTTGTTTTCCGGAAAACCTGCTCTAGCCCAAGCGCCGAACCGCCGCGGGGCTCACGTGCGCATGTACATGTTGGGAGACTGAACTCTGATATGGGTCAAAAGCATAGATAGATCGTCAATCGACGCGTCGCGCCTTTGCCGATCCGCATAGTGAGGTTCGCACTTGGAGCACTTGGAGTGCAGTCATCAACCTCACATCCAGGGCATGACCCAAGCCAGTGAGGACTGGGGATGGGTGGGTGGGGGCTTTTCGGCGTCCTAATTGCCTCTCCTTCGGCGTTCTCCTGCGTCCCCTCGAAGACCTGTGTGGCAGAAGCTTGGGCGACTCAGGCGACTCCTGCCGTGGCTGCGAGGCTTAGCACCTGCCGTTGCGAGGCTTATGCCCAAGGTCTGGAAGATTAGCTTCGTCACGGGCCAAAAGCTTCACACCCCGCCTCCGCCGCAGCCGGCCTTCCCTCCATTCACATACAAGCGCCGTCCTCCACGCCCGCCACCACCACCACCCACGCCGCCGTTTGTGCCAGCGCCGCCGCTGCCGCCGCCCACGCCGCCGCCTCCGCCGCCTCCGCCATCGCCGCAGCCCTCTCCGTCGCCGCTACCACCTCCACCCGAGAGGCCACCGTCATCGCCGCCGTCGCCGCCGCCCCCGCCCCCACCGGCCAGGCCGTCATCGCCATCGCCACCACCCACGCCGCCGTTTGTGCCAGCGCCGCCGCTGCCGCCGCCCACGCCGCCGCCTCCGCCGCCTCCGCCATCGCCGCAGCCCTCTCCGTCGCCGCTACCACCTCCACCCGAGTGGCCACCGTCATCGCCGCCGTCGCCGCCGCCCCCGCCCCCACCGGCCAGGCCGTCATCGCCATCGCCACCACCCACGCCGCCGTTTGTGCCAGCGCCGCCGCTGCCGCCGCCCACGCCGCCGCCTCCGCCGCCTCCGCCATCGCCGCAGCCCTCTCCGTCGCCGCTACCACCTCCACCCGAGCGGCCACCGTCATCGCCGCCGTCGCCGCCGCCCCCGCCCCCACCGGCCAGGCCGTCATCGCCATCGCCACCACCCACGCCGCCGTTTGTGCCAGCGCCGCCGCTGCCGCCGCCCACGCCGCCGCCTCCGCCGCCTCCGCCATCGCCGCAGCCCTCTCCGTCGCCGCTACCACCTCCACCCGAGAGGCCACCGTCATCGCCGCCGTCGCCGCCGCCCCCGCCCCCACCGGCCAGGCCGTCATCGCCATCGCCACCACCCACGCCGCCGTTTGTGCCAGCGCCGCCGCTGCCGCCGCCCACGCCGCCGCCTCCGCCGCCTCCGCCATCGCCGCAGCCCTCTCCGTCGCCGCTACCACCTCCACCCGAGTGGCCACCGTCATCGCCGCCGTCGCCGCCGCCCCCGCCCCCACCGGCCAGGCCGTCATCGCCATCGCCACCACCCACGCCGCCGTTTGTGCCAGCGCCGCCGCTGCCGCCGCCCACGCCGCCGCCTCCGCCGCCTCCGCCATCGCCGCAGCCCTCTCCGTCGCCGCTACCACCTCCAGGG